AACTCCTACCTATCAATTTCTTGGAGTTTTGAGCCATACAGCTAGCTCTCATTCACTTTGCCCCTCAGATCAAAGGGCTCCATGTCCTAATACGAATGGACAATATTGCCGCAAAGGCATACCTCAACAAACAGGGGGGCTCCAGATCCCCGGCCCTGCACAGGGAGGTGATACATCTATTGATCTGGATGGAAGGCAACCTGGCTTCGATCAGGGCGGAACATGTACAAGAAGTCGTCAGTCTTCAAGCAGACTGGTTGAGCCATCAGACCATCCAGGAAGGCAAGTGGTCCTTTCACAAGAGACTCTTCCACATGATCACATTGGTGATGGAAATACCACAAGTGGACCTTTTCGCCACCCCACAAAATAGCCAACTGAGACGTTTTTTCACCAGATACTTCCACCCAAAGGTGGAAAGCACGGATGCTCTTCTCTCTCCTTGGTCCAAGGGACTGCTTTACGCATTCCCCCCAATTCCAATTTTACCCAAGCTTCTTTGAAAAATACAACTCCTGAGGGCAGAAGTCATTGTGGTGGCGCCATAGTAGCTATGTTGTCCATGGTTCATGTCGCTCTGGGAGATGGCGGTGTCCCCTCACCTCACACTACCAGTCTCAGAGGACATGCTACTTCAGGGACCAATCTGGCACCCCAACCCGGGTTGGTTTTGCTTGACCTCCTGGAAGTTGAGAGGGACCGATTTGCAAAACTAGGATACAGGGACTCTGTCATTGACACAATAATGGCATCAAGAAAGTCTTCTACCTCGAGGATCTACAATGACACTTGGAAAGCCTTTTTTGAGTTGGGCTAGACGGAAGATGGTAGATCCGCTACACCCAAGTCTCGGCTCACTCCTAGAGTTCCTACAGGACGGCAGGGCAAGCGGTCTCAAGGCACCCACTCTCAAAAGATAGGTGGCAGCTCCAGCTTCAGTTCTACCACATATCCAAGGTGTGATGGTGTTTCAACATCCCCACATTGTTCAATTTCTCCAGGGAGCTTCTCTCAAGGATCCACCACAAATCCACAGGTTTCCAACTTGGAGACTTAACACAGTTCTTTCAGCCCTCACCAAGCATCCCTTTGAGCCATTGAGGGATGTTCCGATTAAGTTTCTACGGATGAAAACCTTATTCTTAGTAGCCATTACCTTAGCCAGAAGAATCTCAGAACTGGGTGCGCTTTCCATTCAGTCTGAACTTTGTACATTCCATGAGGATAAGGTGGTATTGAGAACAGATCCAACCTTCTGCCCAAAGGTCAGTTCCAGATTTTATAGGTCACAAGAGATCCGCCTTCCATCCTTTGTGCTGCACCCTTCTCACCCAAGAGAAAAGGCTTGGCATACCCTGGACCAGGGCTCCCTCTAAGCTGTGGAGTCTAGTGAGCAAAAATTCTACTTTGTGAGCTACTGGCATTAAAGTTGTGAGTGAGCGATAGGGCTACTGCATAAATTAGTTTGCTCTGGAGCCATCCTTTCTGAGCTAAGACAAAAATGTGTGAGCCGGAGGCTAAAAAACTGTGAGCTAGCTCATACTAACTCATCTTAGAGGGAACACTGCCCTGAACGTGCGTAGGGCACTTAAATGTTATATTCTTAGTACAGCTTCATTCAGAAAAACAGAGGCTATGTTTGTCAATATTTCACCCACACACACGGGCAGGAAGATGTCATAAGTAGTACCATTAGATCGTACATTGCAGAGGCTTACAAGAGTCTGAACCAACAAGTCCCGGACGGGATCATTGCCCATTCTCTATGCAGTGCAGCAACTAATGCAGCTTTCTCCAGTAGAGCGTCGGTGGAGGAAGTGTGTAAGGCAGCTACATGGTCTTCCTTGTCCACATTCATTAGACACTATAAGATTAATGTCTTCGACTCTGCCAACGCAGCATTTGGGAGATGGGTGTTACAATATGTCCTGTCTCTTGATGACGACCTTCCCTCCCAAATTTAAGGGACACTGCTATTGGAGGTCCCACAAGATGGCCTCCACCTCAGAGGGAGAACGACCATTGTTTACTCACCGTGAAGGGTCTGTCTCCTTTGAGGCTTGGAGGACATCTTGGCCCTCCCAGGTCGTCATACTACTATTTTCTGTGTACATATCTCTTCTGTTCTATCTCTGAGTCTGAGCTCAATTTCGAGTTTGCATATTGTTGCTTATACTGTTTGAGTTTTTTATTCAGTGTTACTGAAGTTGGATTGCTTTAGGAGTCCCAAAACTGAGCCTAGGGCGACTCCCATCACAGGAAACAGGAAATAGTTGAAGTTAATCCTGCCTCCCTAAGTGATGGATGGGAATCACCCACAAGATGTCCTCCAGGCCTCGGAGGAGAAGGACCCTTCACAGTGATTAGCCAATGGTCGTTCTCCAGTATGTTTCTTAACACTCATGCTCTCCAGTGTTTTTCTGGTTACAAACATCTTAACCAGTGTTGTTTGTTTTCAACCAGACTATGAAAAAGCCATCCTGGAGGTTAACTTGGAATAGATGCTGTTCCCACAAGGGAAATTACCTTGTGGAAATTTAGCTCCTGTTAGCCTGCAGCATTTTGATAATAATTTATTTATAGATTTTAAATGCTTACAACCCACTTTTCTATTGTCTGAATAGGGACTGGAAGTGTGTGTTCTACAAGCCATCTACTTCTTAATATTCTGTCCACTTCTTTATAAGTAAGCAGGCTTCTCCTCAGATCCTGATGTAGTTCCCAACAAATGCCAATACCAGTGAATGCTCTTCTGTAAAGATTCGTTGGTATGATTAAATGTTAAATTGCCCATAAGGCTCTTGACTGGGACACTAAAATAGATGAGGGTCGTTCTGGTGTTTTGCTGTAAATTTTGCTAATGTAATAACATCCACAGGATTTCCTCTGGTTCAGTTGAGCTAAAATCCTCCAAGTTATAAATAATAATTGGAGAAATTTTCCCTCTGGCAAAGAAATCATGTGTGTAGATTTTCTCTATAATATTAATAATTTGAACTATTTTATACATTGACTTTTTGTTGACAATGATACTGGTAGTGGCTCAGGTCACTGTTAAGTGTTGATGAACTCTGAGTTTTAGCCAGTATTCCTGGGAATTGTCTTAGCCTAAGCTGTTTTGATTCACACAAGACTGACTTTGGAGAAAATGGTTGCAGAAATTTGTCTGGTTTGCATCAACATTGCTATAAAAATGAAATACACTTCCTAGAAACAAATAAGTTTTATTTTTCATTCTAAGTGTGTGTTAAAATGCAAATTTAATTTGTAAAACCACATAATAATGAACTTTCAGTTAGTGTACTTGTTTCGGAATATGTAAGAGAGGTTTTGAGGCATGACAGCACTTTGAAACAAAGGCTTCCGGAAGGCAAGAATGGCATTTGGACATGGCAGAATTGTAGCAAAGGTTACACACTGCCATAAATAGAAGGCTCTTCTTTTGAAGATAATCTTTTTATTCCATCTCTAAATATAACTATGATTTATTGAACTAAACTCTAGCTGTTGTCACTTTTGGCCCTGGAATAGCATTGATCAAGCTGAACTAGTATTTGCATAACAGTCTCAAAATACTTAGAGCTGATTCAGATGAAGAGTGCAGCAAACTTACTTTGGTACAAAATGGAGAGCGCTTTTTAAATTTTATTTCAACAGGATAATTACTGGTTATATTGACCAGATCTGTCACAAGTGAACAAAGTCAGTTGACATAACTGCTTTATCTAGTAAAACAAAGATGTAAATATAATAAAATATTTGAATAGATGTATCTGTTACATAAGCAAAACCACTAAGTATTGTTATAACACAATTTTTCATAATAAAGTTTAGCTGCATAGGGAGGAAACTGTGGTAGTGTTTGCATTATTTTTAAATTGTATATGTAAGGTTTAGTTTGGCTTTGCTGTTGCTTAAATCAACATTTAACTTGAGATATAGCAATAAGGGAGCCACATATCCTGGAAACTGGAGCTACAGGTAGGGTTTTCCATTCCCTTTAAGTGCAGTGAAATTTTATCTGCTACCATAATATTCCATATTCTGTTGTACCGTGCTTGAATAGATGGAAGACTTTTTTGCTATTTGAATTTTACAAGCCATTTCCCAAATACTGTCTTGTGTAGAACTTCTAGCACATTTCTCTTAATGTGTGGAGAAGTAAAAGGTAGATTTATTCAGATAAAGGACCAAAATATGGAGTCTGTTGGTTCGTGGAACTCTTTTTCCCATTTGTGGGTATAATCAGGAGTTCAATACCAAAACTGTATTCCTGAAGTTTTGTAAATAAAGAAAATAGCTTTGGTAAGGTATACGAAGAGGTGCATTTCTCAAACTGTGTGTGTTCTTGTAAATTGCCATTTAATGCCTGGGGTGTTTATACAATGTTGAACCTGGAGTTATTGAAACCAAGAAATTTTAAGGCCCTAATCTTCCATCCATAACCAACAATGGTGTAATGTACAAACTGCATACTTATTTTCTTTATAAAGCCCAAGGAATATATAATTGGTGTTGCTTTACCCTGTTCAGTGATATATCATAACTTTTCTATTTTAATACCAGTTACACGGAAAGGGAGAAGGAAATAAGGAGTGCCTGAACGTTGCAAGTAGTTTTCAAGTAGCTTAAGTGCCTGAAAGTTGCAAAAAGCTTGGGTATTCTTACACTACTATTTTATGGGCAATGCAAAAAGGAGGAACCTTAGAACATTGCTGTAATGTATACTTTATCTTCAACTGTGTTATACTACATATTCGTGTAAAGTGGTACACATTTCTTTTCAGGATGGGCGAACTTGTCTAGAACGCAAATTATAGGACTAGCTCAAGATATGGCTAAATTGTATTTTTCTGCTTTATAAGCTGTTGGGCCCTCATTACAGAAAAGAACAAAGCAAAAATAAATAAATAAACGTCTTGCAGGTTCCTGTTGCATTATTTAAACATTTCTAGTAAATTTCAGGTTTTAAAAAAATATTCTTTCTTCCAACACTTTAGTGGCAAAGCAAAAGAAGACTGCTGTTGCAGCAATAGATTGCATGCAGGAGGAGGATGGAAACAAAACAAATCCTGCAAACGGTTCCCCAAAGGACCCAACACAGACTCTGCAGACCCTCTTCTCCCTTCTTCCAGAAGAATTTGAGCAGATGGATTCAAGAGTGCTGCCTCTGTGTCTCCATCAGGTATTGACAATACCTTCTCTCATTTCACTGGGATTTTTATTTTAGAGCGTAAATTTCTCAGTGTGGAAGCAATAACTTTGCATGGAACTGAAACGCCTACTTATTAGAATTTCATGTATTCCTAAGGTCAGACTTCAGGCCATACAACGAACAAAACAAAGCTCTAAATGTGGAACTCACTCTTTTAGAGGGAGGGACATCATATATCTAGGACTCAAAATTGTGACAAGTTATGTTTTAAAAGGCTTTTAAAATACTTTACAGTGTGACTTTTCCACCTCTCCCTTCCTGTGGCAGCCCAAAATGCTCCCTGAATACTGGGGGTGGGTGTCTCCTGTCTTTCAGGAACAGCATTTTGAGAGAGTTACTGGACCGTCACTAGAGGTGAGGGGGAGAAATTTTTGCTCTATGGGTGGAAATCTTGCACCCACATAAAAAACTCATAGTTTATATACAAAGTCAACTTCAAGAGTCTGATCTGAGATATGAAATGGAGTTTTAAAAGTGTATAGATCAAGATGGGTAGCTGTGTTTGTCTAAAAGAACAGAAATCCAGTAGCACCTTAAAGACGAACAAAATTTATGACAGAGTATGAGCTTTCATGAGTCACTGCTCTGAAGAAGCTCATACCCTGCCACAAATGTTGCTTGTCTTAAGATGCTACTGGACTCTTGCTCTTTTCCACTGCTAAAAGTGTATAGATCTTCTTCATGGTCTCTGTGCATCACACCTATGGGATTATGTGCTTGCGCTGATCCGAATCGGTGATATGCAAAGCTCACAAAGGGATTTTCGCGCCTCCCTCCCAGGCACCCCACTGCGCATGCCCAAGGAGGCGGGGTGCAGACATTCCGCCAGTTCTCTTCTGACCACCGCGCTGTTAACAGTTTGTTTTCTGCCGGTTGGTGACGAAGCGTTCTTTCCTCTCAGAGGGATCCTTTTGATCGTTCTCAAAGTTGGGGGGGGTTTGGACTTTGTCTTTCTTCTTGTTTTGTTAAAATCCAAAAAAACCCTTATTTTGAGGAGTGCCGCTCCCTCAGACGGCCTCCTGCCCCCCCCCTTTTCTCCTCCTGAGGTAAAAATTTTTTCGTTCGCCTCATCTGAGGAATTGTTTTTTTCTTATTTTTACTTCTGGCCAATTTGCTTTATTTTATGGCCAAGAAGTGTGGCTGCTTTAAAAGGTGTACCAGTTGTGGTGGTAAACGTGCCCTGGTGGACAGTCACACTGTGTCTTGGGGAGAGACATTGTCAGGAGTCTTGTCATCACTGCGCCAAGTTTTCAAACCAAACCCGTAAGAATAGAGCTGCTAGACTCCGAGTGGCGCTTTGGGAATCCGCGCTGAGCCCCCTGCCTTCCGGGGAAATGTCGTCAGAAAATCCTACCTATACCAAACCGCCGGCGCCTCCGATGATATCTGAGTCCTCAACATCGGCCTTACCCGCTCGTCCGAAGTCGACGTCTGCTGTGAGTACTCCTTCCAAGTGTTCGGCTCCTAAGGACGCTTCTTCTGCCTCAACACCGGCAAAAAAGAAGAAAAAGAAGGAGCATGAGAAGGTGAAGAAATCTGATCCCAAAAAAGCTGCGCATAAGTCTCACACTCTGAGTGGCACTGGGAGACATGCGGGCTCTGCATTACCCCCTCTCCAGCGGGCGCACCCCGACGTCGTGATTCCTCCCAATAGCGGAGCTGATCGTCCCTCCGCCAGTTGTGCTGCTGGACTCCCCTGTACGACAGTTGAACCCCCCCGGTCTCAGAGCTTTCCGTGACTTCACGCCCCAAGTCGCAAGTGGAGGTGCTACAGGTGATCCCGGACTGATGGTCTCGAGATAGGTCGCCGTCGTTAGTATCTTGGTCAGGAGGTCGTTCTAGGGATGTTTCCCCCTATCCTGCCAGATCTCCAAGGTGGGGAGAACGTCTATCCAGGTCCCGTGGATGTACGGATCATCCTTCCAGCTCCCCCAGGCGTGGAGAATGTCAATCCAGCTCCCCTCAACATGGAGAGTCGCGATATCGGTCTGAAGATTCCCATCACTCTAGACCGACATTTCCTTATTCAACCAGGAGAGAGTCGAGACCACATTCTCCAACGTACCTGAAGCCTCCTTTTCTGCCTCATTGGGACCATAGGCAATACATGCCGCTTCGGTTCTCGTCGTACCCAATGTCGACGTCGATGCCATGGATGACGCCACGTCCACAATCTGATTGGGACTGTAGGTCGCATCATTCCCGCTCTCCACAGCGAAGATCCAAAACATCGGCAACTGTTTCCAAACCACCTGAGGAGTATCCTCTATCGCCTATTCAGTCTGAGGTTCCGACACAGACGGCGCCAATATTGAGCACTCAGGTACAAGTCAACACCGTGCCCTCGCTTCCGATGCCGGTCACACCACCCGCCTGTCCTTTCCCACTGCTGTCGCTTCATTATTCTCTGGTTAATGACATGACAGCAGTCAGAAGGAACTGGCGGGATGTCTGCGCCCCGCCTCCTTGGGCATGCGCAGTGGGGTTCCCGCACGTGCCTGGGAGGGAGGCGCGACAATCCCTTTGTGAGCTTTGCATATCACCGATTCGGATCAGCGCAGGCGCATAATCCCATAGGTGTGACTGCACAGATGACTACTCGAAGATCATCAATTACAGGTAAGCAACCTGTTTTTATTTAATCTATATTTTCCAAAAAATAATTTATTTTTATTTAGAAAATGTATATGCCATCTCTCCAGAGACCTGCTTAAGAGGGCTTACAACTAAGATAATAAAACAATAAAACAAGCCATTAAACAGGATAACACCATTAAAACAAGCCTTGGCATAACAGCAGCAGTCTAAAATGATGTAGATAAAATGATCCTCAGGCCAGAAGCAGAACATAAAACATCAAAAAGATAAAACCCTTTCGTTAGAAGCCTGGTAGAAAGGAATGTTTTAGCCTTGCACCATAAGAAAGTAAGGTAGGTGTCAGGAAAGCCTCACAGAAGAGAGTGTTCCAAAGGCAAGGTGCCATCACTAGAACAGCCCTTTCTCTGGTGGCCACCCACCTCACTTCTGAAGGACACAGAAGAGCAGGAGAGAGTAGGATTTCACAGGGAGCAGGATTCCAGAAGAAGTTCTTCTGGGGGGCTGGACAGTAGGGGTAGAGGCAGTTGTTAAATACCATAGCCCCAAGCCATTTAGGCTTTAAAGGCAAGAACCAGCACTTTGAATTGTGCCCAGAAACAGATGGACAGCCAATACAGATATTTCAGCACAGAGGTGATATAATCAATGTGTCCAGCTGCTGCATTTTGGATTGACTAACAGTTTTCAAGGGCAGCCCACATAACATGCATTACAGTAATCTAGCCTGGATGTGATCAGAGGATGGATCACTGGCCAATTTTCAGTAACTGACGTATCAGCTGAAAGTAGTCAAGGCTACAAAGGACACATGAGCCTACAGCTGTAGGCAGGGTCCAACAACACCCTGAGTTGTAAACCTTCTGCTTCAGGGGGAATACAACCCCCTCCAGGTCAAGCAGACTCTTACATCTTCAGATAGCTTTGTCATTGACCAACAGTACCACAACCTTATCTGGTTTGAGCTGCAGTATGTTGGCCCTCATCCATCCCATTGGTATCTTCAGACACCTGTAGGAGTTCTACAGACCCACTGGACTTGGATGTTAAGTAAAAATATTGGTGGTGCTACACCACATATTGGTAGCACTGCACTCCAAATCCCCAAACAGTGGTTTTATGTAGATGTTAAACAGCATGGGAGATGAGAGAGATCCTTGCAGGACTCCATAGCATAAACGCCACGGGAGCCAGCAGCAGTTCCCCAGCACCACCTTCTGGAATTGATCAGTCAAGAGTGACTGTAAGTAAGAGTGGAACTACCAGAACATGGTTGTTGGAATTTACAACTTAAAAACTAATAACAACCAGCAATAAAATGTAAAATTAAATTCCCGTTTTGGATTTCCTGCCTTCACTGAGCAGGGAGTTGGACTAGATGCCCTATAAGGACCCTTCCAAATATAAGATTCTATATAATAAAAATGTATCACAGTAAACTAGCAGTGGTAAATCCTCGTGGATAAAAATTACAATACAAACATAAGAATAACAACCAGATGTCATATGGAATTAAAATACCGTCATTTGGCACCTTAACAACTGTAATGAAGGTACCAGGTGAACAAAATCAGAGTCCAGTACCACCTTAAAGACCTACAATATTTTCCAAGGTATAAGCTTTTGTGAGTCAAAGCTGACTTTTGTCAGATAATAGAAATACAAGTGTGATGTATTGTGTCTTTAAATGACCACAGGACAGCTGTATCTTGTAATGGGTGAAGCATTTATTGTTTGAGTATGCTGGGTGGTGCTACTGCGTTTTGTTGCTAGTTACTGGTGCTGAGAGTGGATGCCAAATAAACTGTGTGTTGTTCCTGCCTGAGACTTCACAGAGTATTCTTTATAGCCTGGCCAGACACTACAACAAGATTGATCTTGGTAGCAAGTTTGTGAGGGGTTTGTACTTCTTACAGATGCTATTTAGCCTTGGTGTAAATTGTTACGGATTGTCTTGGAGATTTTATGTCAAAAGTAAACTACGGCCCCTGCCACACGGCAGGGAAAACACCCATCAAAGCGCGGCTAAATAGAGCCACACCAAAATAGAGACGCGTGGGCGGGATCCCACTGATCCCGTGCACCGCGCGCCATTGCTCCTCGGCACGATCAGATGCCAGGGAGGAAGAGTCGGAGGGGAGGGGGAGGCTGCCGAACTGCGCATGCTCGAGCATGCGCAGTTCGGCCGGGGGCAAGGACGCGCCGGCAATCTCACGGCCCGGATTGAAGCGCTCTACACCGAAGAACCACCTAGGTAGGTGGTTCTTTTTAGTGCGGGTTTTCGGGCGGGAGGGACAGATCGGGGACAGGCAGGCAACGATTCCCAGATGTTGCCATGGGATCGCGCCCGTTTGCTCCGCCCTCGATCCGTCCCGCTCCCAGGCCAAAACCCCTAGTGTGAACAGGGCCTACATTTGCTTTATGGTGTTTCTATACATTATGGTGCCTGCAATGAAAATGAGGGCAGAAGAAACAAATATATGGAACTGGAGTAAAACAGGCAACATCTTCTCCTAAGTGAAACATGAATGTCTGGTAATGTTAATTTCTTCTCTGCTGTTCTTTTTGCAGATTGCTGAAACTTATTTTCAAGATGGAGAATGTATCCTTTAAATCAGGATTGATTTTTTTCAATTTAATGGAAATAAAATCATATGTCTGAAAGTCAGGTGTAAACTGAAAAGTCTGATTATTCATAAACATGCCTAGTTCTCATTTTAGCTCTGAGGTTGATTGGGTAAGTATGAAGTCCTTGTCCCAAACGTATACAAGTATTAGTTGCAAAGAGCTCTGAAGATATACCTTAAAAGTTGCACACATGATGATCTGCAAATGCCTTACTTTTGAGCTTGCTCATAGGTGTGAGAGGGTTTTCTCTAGCTGCATCATGCATTATGGATTTGGTCTTCCTTTCATCCCGCCCCAGCTAATATAGCATGCTTTTGTTTTTCTACTTGCCTATTTCTGGGCACACACTGCATTTTCTGGGTCATGGACTTTTTTAAGGACTAGAGTACTGTTGGGAAATTTGCAGGCCTGTATTTCATAATATTTTATTGATATATAGCAGGATCAAAATGTGGAGGGGGGTCAAGTTGGGACTTTGTATTCCCCCACCCCCTTAATAACAGCACCTCACAATGCCTTACAGTCCTAAAAATTGAGGCACCTTTGAGAGTAGCCTCCAATACTTTACAAGAGGCTGTATTCGAATAAGGAATTGAGGGAAGTTCCAGCACATGCTCAGATCTTTTTGGATTTCTAGTCCATAACCTTTTTAAAAGATTTATTTTTAAAATGTGATGTACAATAGGAATTAACATTCCCAATGCTAGATGCATGTCCCCCATTTTGTGAGCTAGTGTAGTGGTTAAGAGTGGCAGACTCTACTCTCGAGAACTGGGTTTGATTCCCCATTCCTCCACATGAAGCCAGCTGTGGGGAGAGGGAGGGAAGGCAATTGTAAGCTGCTCTGAGACTCCTTTGGGTAGTGAAAAGCAACTCTTCCTTACTACCTTTGGGTTGTAAAAAACAACTTCTGTAAAGTAAGCCACCTAATAAACAAAGCAAGTGAATGTTTAAACACTGGGGGAAAGCTTATTATAGAATTCCTGCACTAGTGTTGGTTTTATTTGTATATTTTGTCCATGACTGAATACACCGATAGGACTAGATCGCGCTGCTAACAGCTCTCATCCATGTGCCACAGGTTTTCACCAGCCACCAGCAAACTCGTGGCTATGTAGGACTCATGTAAAAGTGCCATTTTTCTGAACTTGTTTCTAACTTAAGGCTGCATACACAGTCACAGCCATTCGTGCAGCTGCAGCATTGGGCCATCAGCAAGTGTGAATTGACTCAGTGGCTTGGGTCCACTGAGATTTGCTTAGACAGTAAGAACTTCTGTTTGCATAGTGAAACTTACCCACCAGTGCCCTCCTCAGCAGCCCAAAATGCCCCTCCTCCCCCAGGAGCAGCATAGGAGTAGGGAAATCAGTGAAAATTGCTCCTCCATTCCATCTGTATAAATCCTTTATGAAATCCAAACCTATACGTCAGTTCATTGCATCATGAACAAGACTGCAAAACTGCAGTAAAGTAGCCCTAAGTATCTATATCCTATGTTTCCTTGTGGCTTAAGGCCACTTAACACATCATCATTAAAAGATTACAACTGAAACCCGAAGAATAAAACCCCTTCCCCACCAAAAGATGCCTGCAATTTATACCCCATTAAAAGAGTTGGCAAGTAAAATGCCCTTGTGTTACTTCCTGAAGATTTCTGTACAACACTAACCACAATGTTATTCTCACCTTGTCAGGAAGCCCATTCCACAGAGGTGGAGTTAAAGTGGAAAAATAATGGACTATGCTTGATGCCAGGTGGGCCATCTGAAGTGTGGGAATGGCAAGTAGGGGGCAGCCTGGAGACTATAGCTGGCACATGAGACGACACAGTCCTCTAGATATGTAGGTCCTGGGCCATGAAGATTTAAAAGGTCATAAGTTCATAACCAGTACCGTGAATTGGACTAGGAAACAAACCGGCAGCCAATGCAGTTGGTTCTAAAGGGGGCAGTAAACATCTGACAGTGATTGGGGCTGCCACATTCTGAACCAGCTGCAGATTTCTGGCTGTCTTCAAATGCAGCCAAATGTCGAGCACATTACAGTAATCCAGCCATGTGGCTACAAAAGCATGGATCGCTATGGCTGAGTCTCAGAAAGGAGACAGTTGGCAAGCCAAATGCATTTGATAAAAGGTAATTCTGGTCACTATGCCAGCATGCTTGTCAAAAAGCAAGGCTGTGTCCATGAGCACCCCAAGATCTTAACTTGCTCTGCAAATGCCAACTCCACTCCATCTAAGACGAGTGGATCTAATTTGGGGTAGATTGCCTGCTTTCACTTGCTACAAAGAAACGAATGGGATAAAGCAATTTCTAGCAATGACTTTAAGGTGTACAGTTTCAGAGGGTAGCCATACTGGTCTGCATTAGAACAGCTAGATTTGAATCCAGTAGCACTTTAGAAACCAACAATATTTTGGGGTGGTGAGCTTTCGAGAGTCAGAGCTCCCTTTGATGAAGGGTATCTGACGAAGGGAGCTTTGAATCTTGAAAGCTTATGCCCCCCCCCAAATCGTGTTAGTCTCTAAGGTGCTACTGAACTCATGTCTCTAACTTATAGCTAATTTTTTTATATTCAGTTGCATGCCAGGGGCATGTGATCACACAATGAATAACATAATGTGACTACTTTAATTTTGCCTGATGTTTTGTGAGCCCCAGGAGGATTTTTTGGTTTCTGCCTTTGTACGCTGGATGGAAAAACAAAATGTTAAACCCTGTATCTTTAAAGGAGACTTTAAAATTCAGCTTTGTATGTGTTAAGAGAAATCATTTGGTGTTTTGGAGAAATAAATGCTGCTAGGTGATCCCAGGCTGTATCGTTTGTATCAAATCTAGCATTGTTAAATGTGAAAGTCATACTGGTGATTAAAGACAGACCAGCTCCAACAGGCTTGTTGCCCAAATAAGGAAAACTGCTTTTCACATGCACAGTGAATTAGGTGTAGACTTATGTGGAGGAAAATAGGGGGATTAAGGTAGTACATTCTCATGCACATGTGAATATGTCGGGAACACCTGCACATCAATTTTCCATTTTATACTGAGGCAGGCTTCTGATTTGATAACAGTGGTGAATTATATCTGCTTTCCACTGTCCATCTATATCTGTATTTCCCTTTAGCTTTCCATTCAGATGAGAAGGCCATTACGTTCATTCAGCTTGAACAGTTATATCATGAGCAACTACTTGCAAATCTTTCCTCTATTCAGCAGCAGTGGGGTAAGTGTACTACAGAATGGAAAGTGATTTATTAAAGACTCAGAAATCCATTCTGATCAGGGGATCCTGTTTCCTGCTGCCACTCATGTGGCTGGTGGGAGAAAAATAATTGGGGGGGGAGACACTGCTGATGATGGCATGGGGAAAACCCAGAAATGTGAGTCTTCTCTAGGAATTGCTGGAAACTCTATGGCTTTCCCCAGAAGTGATGTCACACTGACAGTATCCCCCTGTAAAAGCCTGTGTTTCAGACCAGACCAGAACAAAACAAAAGCCTGCATTTTACCAACTCTTATTGGTATGAGAAACACTTCTCATTTTTTCTTCTTCTCTAATGGCCGTGAAAAGAGGCATCATTATTTTTATTAGGTTTCTGGCTTTTAATGAGCTGCTATAATTACTTCTGTGCTGAACATTTATGGAGTTTTTCCCTTTCAAATCTGTTTTACAAAGCAATATCTATTTATTTTGAATATGGTTGATTAGTTCAAAACATATGCAGAAAATATTCTAGTTAGTTGTTGAAGGCATTGTCGTTTATTGATATTTAGCATAGTCGTTGAAATGTTTGTGTATCGATACAGAAAAAAAATGGAAAGCAGCTGCGTCCAGTGAGGTTCCGGGTCTAAAAAATTCTGCTAAGGGTCTGAATAATGAAAAGTTAGACAAACTTGCTGAACTTTGCACATCACATCAAGAGTAAGTAAAAATAATTTTTTCTTGGTTATAATCCAGTGTTTGTAGCTGTGTATGCTTGGAAGTTGTCTTCTTTGACAACTCCATGTTTTGGTCCTGATACATTGAAGCATCCTTTAGGGGTGCTGGTTAGAGCTAAGGAGACCTTGCCCAATATAGAGAGGAATTCTCTTTTACAGAATAATAGAAAAGCATTATCTTATAAAGGGATGGAATGAGACTCTTAGCACAGTTGTTGTTTGTTCCTGAGGAAGGACCAGAGGTCTGAAACACTGGGAAAATTACCTTGGAAAAGTGTTGGAGGTTTTGTATATTTATCTTGTATATTAATTTTTTGTCTTCTGTATTTCTCTATGAAGGATTATATGGACAGATTTACTTCAGACAATAGATGCATTTCACTTTAAATGAAGTTGGCTTTGTGAATATTTTTCAGGAAATTTAGCCCACCTTCAGACTGACAAGCCTAATTGATTGGACTTCATAGCCAGAATAAGACCTGGCTTACAGTGTATTGAGAGAGGGGACAAATAAGGGCACAAGGGCTAAATTGCCTGGGTTGTTGGTACCCATCCTGGTCTACTCCAATGCCATGCCTCCTCTCCCAGATATATGGCACATACATTAAGTCTTACCCGCTAGCCCCTGGTTCCCCAGTCAGACACTCCAGCAAACAAATTCCAGAGATAGTTCTCTGCAAGCCAAAATAACTGAATCTTGTGGCACTTTAATTTGTTGGCCTTCAGAGTGGCACAAGATTGCTGTTCTCACAAGCAAGTAATTACTTAGCCTTATTTTATGGAAACGTCATTATCTTGAAATCAGTCACAGCTAGAGCATTGCAGCTGTGGTAGCATACCTTCTACTTTCATATGATTTAATGATATAGAACTACTTATGTAATTGGTTCACACAGTTCCTTCGCAATGTATGCTATGATACATGTATGGGATTGTAATCGACAGTGCATTTGACACATTTCTTTTGTCAGTATCTGCCTGCCTTGGGAAAAGTTTTAAGAGGATTCACTTTCTCCTTGAACATTCTAAAAGTGCAGAGAATTAGGTAAAAATGTGGTTCAGGCATCATAGTGCCTGAAAATTATTGCAGCCACCATTGTACTAAAACAAGCCTTTTTGTACGTTATTGGCAATGGAAATTCCAGGCTTATGAGTGTTCCTTGTGACTGTCAGGATGTTTAGTTTTTGTTCAGTTTCAGTTTCAAATCATTTGTTTTTAGAGATTCCTTCAGGGTTGTGGGCTTTTTGCTTTCAATTCAAGGGTGTCAAAATTATTTAGCTTTACAATATTTATGGAGGCAAGTATAGAGTTGAAATCTGATGTGAAAGCTATACCTCTGTGTAGGAAGTGCCTTCTTCTTTGATCTGTGGGCTTTGCTGGTCTGAGAACATGATCGGAATCAGTGGCACCTCAATGGTGTGTCATCTTTGACAGTCTCCTGTAAGTCATGAAGGAGAATCCAGGTTTGATTGCTGATATCTCTAGTTAAAGCATCTTGGGTAGCAAAGTTGGGAAAGATTCTGCCTTGAGCCTTTGATCAGAGTATATTGCAGCCTGTATGGATCTGTGGTGCTTCAAGTATTCACCAAGGAGAAAAGTTTTCAATGCTGATACTGATGACATTAGGAATATAAGCAGTGGGATGGGATGGGATGGGGTGGGGTGGGATGGGAGGCAGCGGTGTTTCAGGCTTAATAACGTGTGGGAGATGTTGTGATGTGTAAAGATATGAATGTGTTGGAATCGACATAATGTAGTACAAAACCTTTCTCCAGTCCCAATTGCAAAAGATTCTCTACCACCAAATTCAGTCACAGAGCAACATAAACCTCGTTGCTTTAATAATAATATCTTAATAAACCATGTGAGCTCATTGCCTTGGAGCAATCCACTCTCAGCTTCAACCCCACCCTCGAGTCCACCCCCATTGCAATACGAGGATAATAATTCTGACCTAAATTATAGGGTTGTAAAGGTTATTAAAATAATTGTATGAAGTGCTGTATAAGGATACTGTCATGGAAGTGTGGTGTAGTGGTCAGAGTCTCAGACTGGGATCTGGGAGACCCAGGTTCAAATCCTCACTCTGCCATGGAAGCTCCTGGATAACCTTAGGCCAGTCACACACTCTCAGCCTCACCTCCCTCCATGCATAGGTGTGAAAATAAAATGGAGGAGAGGAGAACAGTATAAGCCGCTTTGAGTCCCCTTTGGGGAGCAAGGTAAATAAAGTAATTTTTTTCTTTAATATTCCTTTTTTTTAAAAAGAAAATCCTGTTTTCAGGCTTCTCTTATTAAAGTATTTTGGACTGCTTGTGTTCCAAATTTTAGCTTCGTGCATGTTGTAGAAAGGCAGTGTGTCTGCCCTGCCTCTCAGCATTTTAACATTAACAATTGGCAGTAGGGAGCCATGTGTATCAATCACTCTGCGCTCCTTGGAGGAAGGGCAGAGTAAAACTGTAATAAGCAAGGAAGCAAGTGAGTCAGTGAAATCCAGGCCTCTTCATATACAGGTCTCTGTCATTCACTTAATTGTGGTAAGATCCAAGAGCATGACTGTTTTTTTAACATACTTCTTCTTACTAGTCACAGTCGCTTTAAAAATAATTGCTAAACATCTACTAATAGAAATTGTATTTACTGGATCTGAGGCTGCAATACTGAGAACTCCTTTAGGCATTCCTCATGTCTCTCTACTAGGACTTCTCATTTATCTTCCTGTTAGAATCTCTTTGTGCTGCATTTGGAACCATTAGCTAGTGCAATGAGGATATGGTGGAATTCTTAAGAGAGCCAGGGTAATGTAATGTGCTTATTGTGACGAGGGAGACCTGAGTTCAGGTCCCTACTAGACATGAAGCTCATTGGATGATACTAGGTCAGGCTGAGAGAAAGACTGGCCCATTTCCCCTAGTTGTTAGAATAAAAGGGGAGAGAAGAGAACCAAATAGTGACCAGAAAATGGTTCAAAGTCCCTATTGTATGTGTGGAGCTCACCATGCAGCATTTTGAGATTGCTATCTATGCCATATTTACTCTAATATGACTTTATATTAATCCTGTGCACCAAGGCTGGTTCCAGGTTTTGGTGGACTCTGGACAGAGAGTGTCAGGGTCCCTTAGCCCTCCTCTGCCTACTGACACCCCCTACTGATCACCAGTGCGTTCTCCCCCCCCCCTTACTAGCCCTTCCAGTGACCGCATACTGTTCCCTTAACAGTGCTGGGCTCTATGTGTGGCCAGGATTGTGGGGAGCAGGAGGGCTCAGAAGGAAGGAAGTGCTTAGCAGGGGATGGTCAGCAGCAGTGGGACCCATTGCTGCCCACCTCAGGATATGCTGACTCATGCTGTGCCTTCATCTCAAAGCATTTAGGTATGTCATTTGTTCTTACTTAGTCCCACAGTATAAATTTTAAAAGGTTGTTGGCAGCTGTTGCTCTTCCTTTTGATATGAATCCCTGTTTCTGTCTGAAAGCCCCCAAAAGAGAGAAAACGGGCCATTGTGCAAATCCGAGAAACCGAAGGTACAGAGTGCTGTAAAATACAAGAGGGCTCACTTTGCTGCACTTCTGTCCTGTGTCTCACAAGGAAAACACCAACGGGATGTAGTGCTAGTTCTTTCAGCTCTTTCAACTATTCTTCCGAGTAGTTGCTTTCAGCTCAGAACAATTTACACAAAAGGGATCAACTTTCCAAAACACATACTATAAGAACACTTCTGAAGTCCTGTATTGATTTCACCACTTCTCCTGCCTTCTGTGCCATTAGAGATAATTGGCATTGGTAATGTTGTTAGCGTATGGTCTGGCTGCTCTAAAACTATGCTGGCTCACTGATAGTGTTTCAGTGTTGGAAACTTTCTGTGCTAATATTAGAGCATGGAAAGAACGAATCTGATTTGTCGTTTAGTTTTGATGACGTTTGCTGTGAAGGTTTATTTTGATGAAAGCAGCTGTTAATTTTTGTTTATTTCTTCCCCTTTGTTTTGGTTTTGTTTCTGTTTGGTTGCAGGCCACTTGTCTCCCGAAGCAAGGTAAGCTGTGAAGTTTTCCTTGGCTCTATCTGTCTTAATTTTTTGGGTGTTCTTCAGATTGTTAAATGTAGTGGACAGAGCTGATGTCCCATAACCGTAGCATGTTGCATGACATTTTAAAAATCTGCATTCTGTAATGATTAGAATGCTGTCCTGTTTTACAGTTAATAAGTGAAGAAAAGTCCTGGACTCACAATAGTTTCATAGGTTTAATGGGATCTGAAGAATTAAAGGAAAGAGGTGCTGCTGCATGTAATTCAGGTACCACATTTGTATATCTTGTGGGCTTAATTTTTTTGTGTGGGTTACTATGTGGAAAGCTTCCATTTCGAACGACAGTAGATAGGGATTTTTTGGCTTTTTTTCTTGGCTTTTTTTAGACACCTTTGCAAATAAGTAAACAGAATACAATCTTTGGGCTTTACATGGGAAATTATTATACAGTTCACTTCACCATTATTAAAAATTGGTCTGTTCACCCTCTGTACCTCAACTGCACGGAAACAGGAAACCAGACTAAAAATGACTGTAGTGCAGTCAGCTGCATAGACCTTTTCTGCCTGGAAGTCTGCATGCTGTCTCTAGATTGTAGACTTCTCCTTGGAGATGTTGGTAAGTAGACTTCAAAGGAGCAAGCAGTGGCAGCTCTCTTTAATTCAGTGCAGGGTAGACTGATCTCACAGTTCGTGGTGAAGGCTTGGCATGATTTTGAGTTCCCATTTTCCGCAATGAACCTTGCAACTTGCAAAAGGCCCTTCTAAAGTACTTTTTTTTTTGTCTACTTGGAAAATGTACCTTAATAACAAGAGCATAGTCATTGCTGTCTTAATGGTTGTGTCCTCCTGTGACCTTACATGAAGAGAGCCTGATGTAGGGTACAGTTTTGTCCAAACTGCAGTAATGATTTTTCAGCTATGAAGTGAAAGTTGATCCTGACATCTCATTCCTCTGAATTATTTTGCTTTATGCTTTACTTATCTCTTCAGAAGGCTAATATTTTCAGTTATCTTTGATTCAAAAGAATCCTGAGGCAGTGTAGAGTGGGAGGCAATGAGCTTGCCCAAGACTGCACAGTTTGGCTGAAAAGAGATTTAGAACTTAATTGCCATTCGGTCTGCTGCAGTGGCACTGGAGTGATATCTGTAGGCTGAAGTATAACTTCTTAGTGAAGCTGTAGTGTATTCCTTTGGAATACTTGTATGTGCCTTTTAGTATAAATTGAACCAGATTTTCAGAAGATAAACACGCATGAAAATATAACATTTTAGGAAATCTCAAATTAAAGCCTCACACTTTAAAGCGTTATATAATGATCAGTGTTTCAGCCACAGTGCGCTCAGAGACCATCGTTCAGTACCATTTATGCTAAGAAACTTTGCTGCATTCTGTTCATCTGGAGACTGTATCACTAAACTCGGGGAGAAAATTCATAAAGTAAAAGGGTGATTTAAGTCAAGGGGCTTAGAAGGGTGTAACTCGTTTAGGATTGCGCTGTTGATCTTTGCTAGCCATGGTGTTAAGTGTCAGGTTTTCCCTCAGATACCATGCTGACGTCTGTCTTCCCTATTTAAATAAGCCAAATACGTTCACTTTTTAATATAGTAAAACCCATTATTCAGTATCCCCTTTGTCATTTACAATGGATGAGATATTGATTTAGAATATGCAGTTACTCATTAGTTTGAATCCACCAGCAGATTTTCTGTGAACAAAGGAAGGAACATAAGAAGAGCTCTGCTGGATCAGACCAATAGTCCATCTAGTCCAACATCCTGTCTCACGCAGTGGCCAACCAGTTCCTCTGGACAGCCAACAAAGGGCACAGAGGCTGAGGCCTTCCCCTGATGTTGCCTCCTGGCTCTGCGATTGAGAGGTTAAGTGCCTCTGAATGTGGAGGTTCCCCTCAGTCACCATGGCTGGTAGCCATTGATAGACTTATCCTCCATGAATCTACCTAATCCCTTTTTAAAGCTGTTTATTCCTGTGGCTGTCGCTACATCCTCTGGCAGTAAATTCCACGTTTTAATCACTCTTTGTGTAAATGTATTCATCTCTTTTGTAAACTGAAAAGTTCCAGACTCTTCAGCCTTTCTTCATAGGGAAGGTGCTCCAACCTCCTAATCAGCTTAGTTGCCCTTCTCTGTACTTTTTCCTGCTCTGCCATGTCCTTTTTGAGATGTGGTGACCCGAACTGTACACAGTATTCCAAATCAGACCGCACCATAGATCTATACAGGGGCATTACAATATCCCTGTTTTATCCCTCTCCTCTAGGAGCAATATTTGGGGGGCATTTGGGGCTGTAGTGGGAAGAGAGATGCAAGGAAGTTGTGCTTCTCTGACAAGAATCCTTTCCTCGGTAGAAATCATCTAATGCAGTAATATTCAGTGGCTTGGGAGCCACATATGGCTTTTTGACATGCCACCTATGGCTCTTCTAAGCACCATTTCCCAATATGACACCTGCCCTGTGTTTCAGGAAATTTTAATGCCCTTGCCTGGTAAGGCTCCTGGTTGGCAAGTGATTCCCTTCTTGAAACAGCCATCACTGGAGGTGTGAGTAAAATGTGAGCCTCCCTGAGGTATAGGCCTCATGCCAAAGATGAAAGTAAATGTGGCTCTTTTGGGTGATAGTAATTGTGAATGTGGACTCTGCTAGCTGCAGAGTGAGTTGCACTGCTCTAATGGACCCAATCCATTAATCTTTATTTTCCGTTCAAATTCAAAGGAGCATTTGAAACATACTAAGAACTTTTTTAATGTTTGTGTGCAAATTTGTATGCATAAGTCAAATATCCCTCATTTTTGCGTTTGTATAAATATAAAATACATATAATGTGGAATCCTGTAGTACCGAGCACAGTGTTTCAGCTCTGTTCTGCTAGCTATTTATCCTTGCTTAACCTCTCGTTGTATTATGGCTAGGGCTTTCATTAGTCTCAACTTGCTCTGCACCTGTCAGTACTACACAAGTATCTTTTTGAGGAGTTTATGTCTTGCATCAAGAGTAGCAGGCAGGAATTTCACATCAGCTCAGACATCTACATTCTGTATTCTTCATTTGTGCAGTGTTTTCTTAAACATCAAGAGAACAATCCAGTGCCTAGGTAACTTCCATAGTACCAGGGAATGCCTAATGGTGTGCAGGGCAACAACAGGAAACAGGGATATTTTTAACATTTCCAATGCTAGAGTTTTTATTTCAATAAACTTTAATAATATTGTGGTGACAATGTATAATTTGCCAGTGGTATCATGAAACGATTCTTTGTAATGTTGATTGATTCCTTCTCCTAAATATGTTTGGGAAAATCTGTATTTAAGAAGGAAATTAAATCCTGTCTTAGCAGAGCTAGATAATTGCACCCTTGTTTAATAAAGTATTGAGACATGGCCTTAAGTTCTCTCAAAGAAGTCAATAGAACCAAGTTCACTTCTTCAGTATTTTCATTTGGAAATTAGAGGTATTGCTGCCAGCCAGGAAGTAACACAAGGCATTAATGTACGCTGTTATCAGATTACTGATATTTCCCCCCCACAATCCTGGTGTATTGAATCACTTGAAAATGCTTGAATTCTTTTCCTGTTGCATTTAGACACTGAAACTTGGGCTGGCATTGGACCAAGGCCAGAGCATCATCATCACGCAGAGAGACAGAGGAGCGAGAGCTTCCAGCCTGATAGCCGGCATACACTTAGCAAGAGGGCAAGTCTTCAGCTGGCTGTGAGGAAGGACCACATGGAGGAGGAGCACCGCAGTGCTGAGTCAAGACTGGAGTCTCCCACTCAGTCCCCGGGGGTGCTAGGCAGGCTTATCTCTGGCTGTTTGTCTTCTAAGGATGCCACTGAAGATAATAGTCTGCAGCTGAGAGGAGAACAGTCCTCTGAGGATGTATCAAAAACAGAAGCAGCTGCTGAGGAGCCTGCAGCGGAGTGCTCTAGTGAACCAGTGGTAGACGCACTGGTTTTGACAAATGCTGATCATATGCCTTGTGATCTAATTTCCATAGGTGACAGTGTTAAGTCTGACAGGAACGTACTCCAACTGGACCACTGCCTAGGTTCTAGCGTACTTTCTAGTGGGCATCTGGGAAGCAGCATATTAAAGCAGCAGCAACAGCCTGTTTACAAAAATGATAGAAAATCTGTGCCATGCAGAACTTCATTAGACATTAGGGAAAATGTGTACTCGGAAAGTAATACACCTGAACAGGCCACTGCTGGATATGCAGAAGCGTCTAAAGGGATACAGGAAACGACAGAACTGGAAGAGGAAAGCGAAGGATCAGAAGACTTTTTTCAACAGTTTTTAAATTGTTGCATAAAAGACAGAGAAGAATCCGTTAAATACTTAGGAACTCCGGAGGACTCTGACACTTTTTCTCATATACCAGCTGAACAAGCACTTTATAGTTCATCGGAAGGTTATTCACTGGAGGAAAGCTTTTCTTCACTTGATGAACTAGCAAAACGGATCGAAATTGCAGAGGTAAACACTGACAAAAAATTCCCTACTCTTTGTGGTATTTGCTTGGCATTCATATCTCAGGTTTGTTAAGTGTGAAAACGGACAAGGGTTTTTTTCCTGATGATGATGTTGAGTTCCAGTGTTGACAGAGCCTCCCTGAAAGAAGGCATGCTAAAGAGATGTGTTCAGTTATTTTTCTTTTCTCAACAAATTGTTGCTATGTAAGCTTGTTTAACTGGCATGTGATTATCAGAGAAAAAGAGAGAGAGAATTTATGTGCTGTATATTTTAGGAGGCCACATCTAAACAGCTGTGATGGTTGCCTAAATAGGGCATAGAAAACACTGAAAAAGCTTCCCTGGTACATAATTGGTGGAAATGCTTTAATATTCCTCGTCAGTGCACATTCTGTTGTTCAAACTGAGATGAATAAGAACCTTTTGCTTAAGATCAAAAGTCATGGTTGACTGGCAAGCAATAATTAAGTGAATGTCTATTTATTTTCATGAAAATATAGATGATTTTGCGTTACTTTTTTAAAACCAGGGTCGGAGAAGAGGAAAGAGAAATGGTGATTTAACAGAGGGCTTTTAAGCTGTTCTGAAAAGATATAGTGCCTAATGATGCTTTAGAAGTGCTTTTTAGAACCGCGCATGTTCACAGAAGGGAGAGATTAAGACACAATGCACTATATTTTTATAACCGGATGACCTTTCTGAGGTCATGCTTCTGGCCATATTAACTAAGTTGCCCAAGACACTGTCCAGAGAAGGCTATCGGATTACACCCTGATGTGCAAAAGTAGGAGAAAGGTGTTCTGTTTCCTTTTAATTCTTTGAAAATTTACAGAAAACACGATGGAATATGGTTTGTTGTCGAAGGCTTTCATGGCCGGAGTTCGTTAGTTGTAGATTTTCTGGGCTGTATGGCCGTGGTCTTAGCAGTGTCAGGTACTACAATTCCAAGACCACAGCCATACAGCCTGGAAAATCTACAACAACTAAGGAATATGGTTTGTTTGTTAAAAGCTGTGCATCAAGACAACTTCCCCAGTTAGATATATATTTATTTATCCTCATTTGTTTACTATTTGTCAAGGAAATATTTTATCCTGTATTGCAAAAATGGAAGCCAGTACATTACGTGAACTCCTCTATTTTTAACATTGTTTCATAATAACACTTGGGCTTCCCCTCTGTGCCTTTCCAGGTGTGATAAGTTGTTTTTTCTTAGTTTGTTTTGACATGAATAATCTAATTTCACATGGCAGTTATCAATATGAATACAGTATTTACTCATATGCAAGCCTAGGTCCCCACCCCAGGTATTCCATCAAAAAAGAGGGAGTTGTCTCACATTTGCATACAAGTTTCAGTTATGTCCAGTAATAAGTGTGTGTGTGTGTGTGTGTAACACCTTTATGGGGTTGTCTTACATTCAAGGTCATCTTCCTTTTAAATCAATATGGTAAATGTGGTCCTAGGACACTAATTATTCCCAAAGCCAGTTTAGGTATACTAAGAACAAGGGAAACTATACCGTTGATAAGCAAAGCAGCAGTACTTCATTGTGCAAAGTAAGGTCATGCATGGAATCCGTCACTCAATCTCAGCCACATTCCAGCCCCTTCCTGCCCTAAGACACTAATTTAGCATAAGACAATGCACTGATGCCTGCTGGGCATCAAAATTGTGAGATGACAAAACTGTGACAGACGAGGGATTTGGCTTGGTTAACATGGGTCAAAGTGCAAAAAGGGTGAGGCTCTTAAAGAAAACTGAATAGTTATGGAGTGACTTGTGCTTTGATGTGTGTACCTACAGTGAGCTCCACTTAGGAATCTCTGTTGGAGGCCCACTGAATTAAATTAAAGTTTTGGAAGAGCAAATACACAAACTTTATGGTAGGAAAACTTTACCGTGCCAAGCACATGTTAGCTAGTGGCTAACCAAAAAAAACATCTTTAAGATGCCACTGGATTCCTGTTATTCTGCTGTCACTTACTAACATGGTTTCCCTTCTGTAATGGTTAGAAATATAATGTTTAGATCAGGGGTGTCAAACTCATTTGTTACAAGGGCCAGATCTGAGATAAATGAGACTTTGTCACGCCAGACCATGTGTATCATAAAATGTAATACCAGGTAGCAAAGATATTAACTTTATAAAGGACACCGACAAACACAATAAAAGTTTTTTTTAAAACTTAAAATACAAACACGCTTAAAATAGTAACACTCTTGCCATATTTTATTTAACAGTCTTTGAAAACTGACACCTCCCAAATCTCCCCTCCCCTTAAAAGATGCCTACCTTAAATGGAAAGGTGGGGGGATAGTAGGATTTGGCAATGTAATGTTTGGAGCCAGTTTGGTGTAGTGGTTAAGTGCACGGACTCTAATCTGAGAGAAACGGGTTTGATTCCCCACTCCTCCACTTGCTGGGATGACCTTGGGCAAGCCATTGTTCTGATAAGAGCTGTTCTTGAAAAAGAGCAGTTTCTGTCAGAGCTCTCTCAGCCCTACCTACCTCACAGGGTGTCTGTTGTGGGGAGGGGAAGAGAAAGGAGTTTGTAAGCCGCTCTGAGACACCTTTGGGTAGTGAAGGGCGGGGTATAAATCCAATCTCCTCTTCTTTTAAATAAAACATCAAGAACAAGCACAAGGATCACAGCAGAAACTAAAAATAAAAAACTAAAAGTATAAAATACTCTGAGCCTAGGAAAACATGAAATGACTGAGCATTACAAGCTCCCCCCTCCAGGTCTACTCAGAGTGGCAGTGGCTCCCTAGTATAATGTCCCTCTTTGGCTATGAGTTCCCAGGTTAGACTACTCACTCAGGCACACGTTCTCAAGTCCATTCAGCAGAGACAAGCTGGTTCAAAACATCAGTCCTTTATTTGCAAGCAGATGACTTCAGCTGGCATACAAACACTGGAAACTGAAACTCCACTCCCTTGAAATGCATTGCAGCTCAAAAAAAAAAAGTTGCAAAGAAAATGTGGAATGGATTTTCCATTTAAGGTTTCTGGGCCCAGATAGACTACCCTTGGGACTGGAATGACAGCTCCCAGAGTGGAATTCCATTCTCAGAATGCAGCTACTACTCCAGGGACCGTCATTCCACTCTGGGGGCTGTCATTCCAGTCCCAAGGGTAGTCTATCTGGGCTCAGAGACCGTAAGGGAAAATCCATTCCGTATTTTCTTTACAACTTGTTTTGTGCTTTAGCCCAAAGGAGCTTCCTGCTAGAGGAGAAACCAGCGAAGACAAGGCCCAGCCAGCTGAAAAGTTTGGCAGCCCCGATCTCCCTTGGAAGGGTGAGGACAGGCAGGGGAGGGGGTGGGGTGGAGAAGAGATCCATGGGTCTGATTGAAGCCCTGGGCTGGCCGGTTCTGACCCACGGGCTGCAGGTTTGACACCCCTGGTTTAGACATTGTTGTTCCCTTTCAAGAGTTTCTCAGCCAGTTTACAAAACATTCCTTGAAGATTTTAAAACTAAATCATTCATAGTTCTTTGTTTTCCAGAACTCGTAGGGAATGGGGAATTGCCAGTTAATTGAATGTGCTTGGATACTCGAGCTTATTGCTCTGCCCTACCCAGAGAAATCTATAGTGACTGCCACCCACTTCACTGGGAATACCATGGTCATAGCCTCCATGCCTGGAAAGACTTTCCAAGCCACGTGGCCATCCTACACATAGGGTTGCCAGACCCCTGCCAGGGTCAGGGAATCCCCACTTTTGAGGGGTGCTTCCCCGCTGCTGGCCAACTGGCCAACAGGGAGTAAATTTACTCTATGGTAAATTCTTATTTCTCCTGCTGTGTACAGCAGCTTCAGGTAGGCCACAAATTTGGCTGAATTTACCATAGAGTTTGCCCAAACACCAGAGCATCACCCCCAGACATCCCTGACATGCCTATGTCATTTCTGGGTGATGTCAGCACGTCGGAACGGGGACTTCCAGTTTAACTGGAAGTGGCTCGAAACCCGGAGCCCCCGCCAGCCAGGTAAATCCACCTGGCAACCCTACCTACACAGCAGGCAGATGAGCCGATCAGCTGCAAGGAAGACCTCAACCAGAGCTGTCTCCCAACAGCTCAAGGCAGGCTGAAGGGGAAGAAGGGGTCCTAGGACGGTGTCAGCTTGCTCTCAAAAGCCCAGCAGTGTTCAGGGGCATCAAGCTGACCAGCTGGAAATGTGGGAGTAGGGCACACAGATGCTAAAAGACGCAGGGGAGGCTGAGGGAGACGAGCTTGCCTTCTGGGCAATTCTAGTCAACTGAGCCTTCTGGTTCATCAAAGGCCAGATAACAAACAAGGGAGAGGCTGTAGCTTATTGGCAAAGCACCTGGTTTGTATGCAGAAGGCCCCGGGTTTGGTCTAGGACATCTCCAGTTTTAAAAGGATCAGGAAGGAGGTGATGTGAGAAACCGTTACCAGAGACCATGGAGAAAGTTGCTGCCAGTCAGAGTAGACAGTACTTACTTTGATAGACCAAGATCTGACTCAATATTAACGCAGCTTCATGAAGCTGCCTTACACTGAATCAGACCCTTGGCTCCATCAAGGTCAGTATTGTCAGACTGGCAGTGGCTCTCCAGGGCCTCAGGTTGAGGTCTTTTGTATCACCTACTACCTGGCCCCTTTTTAACTGGCGATGCTGGGGCCTGAACTGGGGGATTTTTGTGCAGAAAGCAGATGCTCCATCATTTAGCCATGGTCCCTTCCCTCTTCTTTCCCCCTCTTTCCCTTTATGTTTACTGTAGTTTGATGACCTGATTACAGACTATCTTTGTGTGGAAAATCTGATAAGCAAACCCTTACTATAATGTACTGTTTTCTGGTTGTTGAGTTTTTTGCAGGCAGACTTTGGTCTCTGAATACAACACATAGAGTACCTTGCATCATTCAGTAGCAATTCCTCTGGGCCAAATATAGAGTAATGTTGGCTGTCTCTAGAGTCCCCGCCCCCGGTCTATGTCACCAGGAAGCATAAGCTTCAGAGGGGAATCTGAGA